ATAAATAAAACATAGTATGTTTTTGTAAAATCTCTCAAAAACAATTAAGCACCAGTGTGAAGATGTTGAAACCTAAAAGACAAAAAAATCAAATCCATTAAAAAAAACATCAACAATAAGTCAGGTTGTTTGAAATTTTAGCTATTTTTGTTGTTTTTGTGTAGGAATGATGCTGGGGGGCTACATATGGGGATACCTCGCCGACCAGAGGGGGCGCCGCAGAGTCCTGGTTGTTTCATTAACAGTAAATGGGCTGTTTGGAGGTCTGTCCAGCTTGGCTTTGTGGTTCTGGCTATTCCTGCTGCTGCGATTCATTAGTGGAGTTGGGTTAGCACATGGTTTTCATATTTATTATTCAATTTGTATTTTAACTCCAGTTGATCTCAAGAAATCTCTGGCTCACAGGGATTTCTCTACGTTCAGGTTGATGTTGAAGATATTTTAAGCTGCTGAGGAGCCTGTCCAACTTCATGTTCTTTCCTGCTTCCTCTGTAGGGTAGGAGGGTCCATTCCTGTCATCTTCTCCTACTTCTCAGAGTTCATGCCCCGTGTGAGGAGAGGAGCCATGATCAGTGGTCTAGCCACGTTCTGGATGGCGGGAAACATCTTGGCTGCAGGTGGGAACAATCAAACTGGGTCAGGGGAAAAACTGTGATTCAGGATTGACAGGCTTCCAGGGTTTTACTCTGACAGTTTTAATTTTCTTCACTCACAACACTTCAAACAATATAGCAGAAAACATACAGAGTAAATAAATTATGGACAATAATGATTTATTTCCAGTTCTGTAATAAAAATATTTAAAGGTCAACTTCTCAATCACAAACAGGGGTCAACATAAGGAAATTTTCTAGGTGGTCCAGTGGACATCCTCTTCAGGTAGTCTGACAAAATTTTTGGTTCAGCTTTTAAAGAAAAGTAAAATATGTATTTTAATAAGTATTGCACTATTTACAAAACTTATTTCATACAAATGTTCTCAGTCAGCCAGGTTGTGGAATGATTAGACTTTCCAAGGTACTGAGGGTGTTGGATAAATTGATTCTCAAGACACTTTGTGAAGGTTTAAGGGCAAAGTCGGACCCAGAATTGCTGGCAGGCAGGTTCGAGGAACGATGAAAATGATTTTATTAAATGAAAATGCCGACATACTGTAGCTGCGACTAAGAAAATAACCTACCATGCAGCGCGGGGAGAAATGACTGAGTGAAAGATGAAAATGAAAACACTGAGGACAAACACAAGAGGGAGATGGAAACGAGAAACAGACACAAGCTGTGTTTCCATTCACCATGAAAATGCGCAAATTAAAATTTCAAAAATAAATTTGCTCAATGGAAACAC